GGATCGTGGCTGCCTGGCCGCCCGCGGCGTGGCTTACGAGGCACCTTTACTACGCGTCCTTATAACGCGCTTCTCTCCGCTCTCTCGGTCACTCGTCGACTCGACTCTCTCTCGGCGCTGCTAAATGTCTCACTCGCGCGCGCACTCCGGAGTACACTTCGCTTTTTAAAGGAGCATCGCCGACTGACTGCACGGGACGGACTCTGTCGCTCGCGCGCGCGCTCGCCTTGCTCGCTCGCTCGTTCGCTCACTCGCACTCGCGACGACGGCACACCGCACACACAATCGCGGAGTCAATATTTGAGCGGAATATCGATTTGCCGGAGTCAGGAGAGAGAGGAGACGTCAGTGCCGATTCTCGCCGCGCTGCCCCGGAGTGGCGCTGCCAGCGCCGGTGCGCGCGACACCTTAAACCCCGTTTACACGATTTTTCCCCCTCCCGATTACTACCCGTGTTGGCTAATGGGTTCAGTGCGCAAGTTCCAATCCGAGAGTCCGAGACTTGTGCTCTGTGTCTGTCCAACCTTCTGAAAATTTATTTACTAATATTACCTTTAATTAATATTGTATAAAAATATGCGCAAAAGCCGCATGAGTGGTACAAAGAATATTTAAACTTTATTTACGAATTTTTAGTCGCCATCTTTAAAACGCGTTACGCATCACGCTGTGTTTCGCACGTATATTCTTGCGTATGTGTTTAAAAAATTATCAGGCAACGGGTTCATACGTATTTAATAAAATTTTAATGCTAACACGTTCGTGTTTACAATGTTAATAATTTATTGCATAAATACGAATATGCATGTTATATTACAGAAATATAACAAAGATCATTTATGTTATATATTTATTTACAAGTCATTATTTTATTATTATTTTAAAAAACATTCTGCATACAACGACAACCCCTTACCAAATTATACAATGCTTAACATTTGTTCAACATTTAAACATATTTAAAAATATCTTCTTCGAGCAAATCATCTGAAAACCAAAATCGAATTTGTTTCTCTCTATTATATTCATCTTAAAGCTTATTTTTAGATTCCACATTTCTAGAATGATACCCGGGTTTTGGAAATACCACACGATTATCTTTGCCGTTATCGGTAAAAATCATGTTAACTTGCGTGTCGAGAAATACCACTCTGTTTTTTGTCAAGGTTATCCTCTCAAATTCATCTGTAGTAATATCCGACTTATCAATTACTTGTTTTTCATACAACTCAACTTCCTTCGGGTACATCGTATCTCCAGGCATGACAAACACGATGCCATCCTTCAATTGCACCGCTATCTATAAAATATATTTATCAGCAACACAATAAAATATTGCATACTTTTATAATTATTTGTGATGAAGATCGTCCATCCCATACAGCACAGAAACTTGCAGCAACATTGTTACATCGTTTGCAATGTTGCTGCAATATTGTTGGAACAATCTGTGCTGTATGGTATGCACAATACAAAAGCTTACAATAACATTGCTGCAACGTTATTGCAATGTTACTGCGCGAGCTTCTGTACAGATTATTTCAACAAATGTTGTAGCAATATTGCGCCACAAGCTTTTATGCTGCATGCGAAATACTTAGCACTCCAACAGTTCTAATAATGAAACAATTTAGCTTACGTACTGGTAAATACGTAATTTGCACGCCTTTTTTACTGCGTTCCGTGGCGATATCTAGAAGATTATCTATACTTTTAATTTTGGTCAATCTGGCAATCTCGACCTGTTGCGGCGGTGGAAATCCGAAACCTGTCGAAGAAAACTCCTCCGGAGAGAACCACTGAATTCAATTTTAGTGATTAGTGCTTACAGGGGGATACGCGTTATCTACGGAGCTATTGTGCAAGTTTCTTACTTGTAGATCCTCCATTTCTATAGCTTCATATTCAGCGTGTGGCACATGCGGTATGCAAGCCAAGTAAAAAACGGTGTTGAAGCGTTTAGTCTTGTACGCGTACGTAGGTCCCAACCAATTCCTCCATTCATGCAGCGCCCACAAGTCCGGATAACACTCCAACTTCTGACAGAGATTGAGAAATTCCGTCGCATCATTGTGGACTTTGTTCTGCCACGTTCGCAGCTCGCCCTCAGGAACTGAAAATTATCCGATAAATGTTACATCAGCTGTAAATTTACCCATAATTTCTTACGTAATTTCTTACTTGATACATGTTCGGCCCAACCAGAATGAGCATAGCTGTTTTTGTTACGTCTGCATAGCAGTATCCCGCATTCCTCGAAGGTCTCGCGAATTGCAGTAATACGTAGCGAGATTTCTCTGAGCAATTCGTTCTCTTTTGATTGAAAAATTTGCGGCCGCGACACGGTTTTTGGTATCAAAGATGCAAGCTTATCCACATTGTCCAGACCGAAAGCACTGAAATATTCGTGCCATTTCAGATTGGCATCAGCTGGGTCCACTGCGCCGCCCGGGAAGACGTACAACCCTGGCATGAAACTCGACTTTTGATGACGCTTCAAGCATAGCAGCTTGTAATTATGCTGAAATCATTAATTACCTGTAGCCTCATGTAAAATAGCAAATTTAGTCATTCGCACTGTATTGATCCTTATTAAAGACTATTTTATATAAACATCTAAATACAGTCGCATAATATAGATCGATAATTATAGTCTGTTCTTATTTTAAAACGGTCTTAAATAATGTCTTAAAATGTTAATATTGCTCTGTGATTAGCTTATAACATTTTAAGACCATATTTAAAACGATCTTAACATCGACTATGAATTCTGGCTATAGACTACTTCCCTTTTAGAAGACACTGTTGACACAAATGTTGTTCTATTCTTTTTAACATTCAGTGAATAACAAAGATAGAAGAATATTTGTCGACTGTATCTCCTAAAAGTAAAGCAGCCATAAGGTCTGTTTTTTTATTCCTGCACTAGACTGCACTAGAACTTTCTTCCTCGCTTTCGCTAAATATCAAACATTACGCTTATTTCACTTTACGTTTCAAAAGTGCATACTAGTTCGGCTACAGAAAATAGACTTATTATAATCAACTTGAATAATGAACCTGTACAGTACAGATCATTCCAGCAATATTGCATCATTTCATTGTTCCAATAATATTGCAGAAGCATTGCAAACGTTGCAATAATGTTGCTGCAAATTTATGTGCTGTATGGAAAAAAAACGTATATATCGTCAATCGAAATCTGTCGAAATCTTTCTCATTCCACGATGTTGCATCCAGCCGTGTTGCAAGGAGGAGCGAGAAAGTGTCGATCGAGTCTTCGTCACGCGACCAGAATGCATACACGTGCACGTCGTTATTGTATTGTATATGCACTTACGATTGCAGGCGACACTGCGCGACCATACGTTTGCCCGTGACGTGCTGCTAATATCAAACTCGCCGCGTCAGTCCAGGCCTTCATCTTTCCACGATTTCTCTTGCACGCGTGAAAACTGTGAATAAAAAATCTACTAACAAAGCGGAAGTTTATCTACCAATAATCTTTCCGAGCTATACTATTATTATATTATATTATAATAATTAATTATTTGTCAAAAAGTCCAGATTATTATATAAATATCGGGATTATCGGTTAAAGTGATTACATTACTCCGTGATAATGAAATTCACTTTGACATTATTGCGTCATCGTTTATCCAAAAATTAAATATGTAAATGATTATTATTTGCAAGTATTGGCTGCGTTCAGCAGATAAAGCAGCCTTGCAACTGTTATAAAATTCTTCAATATGATTGGTCTATACGTTTAGATCTGTAAGGAACCAAAAGGAAGAATCAATCGTATCGAAGAATTTTATGACAGTTGCAAAGTTGCTTTCTCTGCTGAACACTGTCATTGGGTGCATTCAATACTACAACCGCTCACCAAGTGCTCAGTGAGCTCTTGCATCCGATTGGCATATTCCATTAGATCTAAAAATATAGACCAAACAAATACGAGAGCTCAGTGAGCGGTTATAGTACTGAATGCATCCATTATATGCCATACGTTATTGTATTATTAAATTGTAGGAACCACTGATGTCACTTTTTTATTATTCAGGTTGGACATCAAATCAACACAATAAATTACAGTTTCACCTGCTTGCTATCGTATTTCCTAATTTTATTATTGTCTGCATTTATCATTGTATCAATAACACTTTTGATAGTCTCTTGCACTCAATAATAATATTTATTATTAAATAATAGCTATCAATATAATAACAAACAACAATTATTACACAATACGATCGTCAAGTGAACGACACCGCTGACAGAGTTGGGTCGTGTGGGAAAAATTATTTATTTGTATTTCACGATACAACTCTAAGTCCAAGTGCGCTGAGTCTCCAGAGCCTCATGGTCAGCTATAAGCTCTGTTCGCGTTGCTTGCATATTCGGCACTCGACATCTTCGCTTTATCTCTTTTTAAGGCAAAATATGTATCTATCTCATTTTAAGTACAAAAATATTTGCGGATTTCACACAACGCGAACAGACCTATAGCCACGTCACAGACACAGCCACGTAGCTATGTTTTCTTGGCGTCCTCCGACTTGCCCGTCGCCGCGATCATCAGCTCGTACAGCTGACACACTTGCTCGTCTCGCAGCTTCTCGACGTCTTCCTCCTTCAGGTATCGCCCTAGCGGTTTTGCCGTATGAGGACCTCTCAATCCGAGCTGCTCGGCGAGAGACACTGCGTAGTTCTACGGAGAAGATTACAAGGTCTATTTGCTGATTGCACTTTTGGCATTCAGAATCTTTGATTTCTCTCTCTCTCTTTCTTCCACACCAAAATATATATTTATCTTGTTTTAAGTGTAAAAATCCTAGGAATTTCAAGCAACGCGACAAATCTGATTGCACCTCTCGTCTCGGGCTCGCGCGCGCGAACATAACCTCAAATAACGCGCTCGCGCGGTCGACGAATGACGCGCCTTTACTTACAGTCCACTCGTGGAGGAAGATGATCGCCTCGCTCTCGACGCATCCTTTATGTCTCCGGAACTCATCGCGAACGTAACCGTCGCCCAAGGGCCGGACCTCGGTAGGTAGACCGCGATGTAACCTCAAAATCGTCTTGTACAGCATTCGGACGCGCTGCACGTGCGTCCGGGAGGCCATGACCGTGTGATGCACGCGCTTGCGGACACTGCGCTGCTATATTTGTCAATTATCATCGATCCCGCTATTTATTCTATTGTTAATTATACTGCCTGATCTTTCGTCGAGATGACATTTTCTGTAATAATGATCGCGGATATAACGTGATTTTCCGAGAAAACTTGGCATCCGTCGAAGGTGCCTCGTTGAAAATTGACTTTGACTGTCGGCTAAATCAATTCTAATAGAAAATTTGGAAAATATCCGTGCGACAGTAATATTTTAACGAATTATAGCCATAAATTTCGAAAATTCTCTGTATTATTTGTGTATAATAATCTTAATAGCCTTATAAACAAGGCACTCTTGCTTCTCAGTAAATATTACATTACATCAATTGATAATTTTCTATTCAATAATTGCAACTGTTACGTACAACATGTGTTTATTACCTTTATAGAAATTTAATACTAGTACTGGCCAATTAATCACTTATTTTTAGATTAAAAAGTACTGTCAACAGTACCTTCAATACTCAGAATAAGTGATTAACAATACACTTTCAATATTGAAGGTAAATGATTAATAAATATAAGTCCAAGGGGAACAAGAAAGCCAAAATAATATCAATATAATGTTATTGACCGATTATTGATCAAATTTATGTCGGTTTTTTTCGTCATGATTCAACCAATATGTCATTCATGTTCGAACGGAAATTCCTTCTATTCAATTGCCACAAGACCCGTTAATCTTGTAGACAAAAGAACTGAATACAAGGATGGATTTGCCACTCACTTGCTCGGATTAGAACATTTCTCTATTATCTAATTTTGTTTCACTGAAGATGTCCCAAATGATGGCTGAAACGTATGAAGATTAATGTATAAGTATTATGTATTAAATAAGTTATTGCACAATTCACTGCAAAATTGACTCTCATTAGCCTTTTTTATGTAACTTGTTTGACAATATGTCATTATTTTGACTTCCTTCTTGAGAGAGTATATCTATATTGCTAAATGGAAAATTACAGTATTGATATAATTCTTCATACAATATTGATGTTATTTTTTATAATTTTTCGAGTTATTAATTATTGATAGAGGAATGTTCGTCAGTATTTTAGTGACAGTTAAGAACTTAATGCATGTGCATAAAATATATTTTTTTCTTATATCCTTTATTTGATTAGTAATTTAACTTATTTATATAGATATCATAAAAGAAATAGATATGAAATGCATGTATTCTTTTACATAAAAATATCTACAGATCCTTACAAGTAAATTTAAATACTTAAATACGACTACGCGACGAAACTTGGACAATAGTAATAACACAATTGTTAACATTTTAGTTAATTTATGCATAGTGAACAACTCCAGTCCAATAGGTCCAATCCAAGGAAATGCAAATCGTTTTCCGTATACGATTACAGTATCGCATACACTTAATTGGTATCGTTGGTGGTGTTTCTGCTCTCTTGCTCAGATTAGTTATCCTCGGGAGATCTGGTATCTTGAATTTGCTATAAATTATACATTTGTTAAATTTCCGCTTGCTCTACCACTGACGGATCCAGGAACTACTGGGGCACTTGGCGGATTTATATACTTTTGGATTATTAATAAGTTTCTTTAACTCCATGCGCTTAAAGTGAACAAGCAAAAAAAAAACAAAAACATTGTATTTTTTCCCACAGTTTTCGTACTTTAACGTCCTTATTTTTGAATTTGTGCGTCGCAAGCAAAAAGTTTTTTAAAAATATGTATCAAATACGAAAAGGTTTTATATTGAAATTATTATTGGCATGCATTAAAAAAATAATACCTCTACTTATCCAGGCAAACGGACAGAAAATAAAAGCTGCAACATGAACTTTTGCATAACACGATATCTACAATAAAGCAGTAAGCCTTAAAAATCTAGGAGTTTCTTAAATTAAAAAATATTTTTGGAATATCAAAATTGCAGTGATGAAACATTTCAGAAAAATATTAAAAATATAATATATAATATTTTGCTATAAATATTTTTAAAAAAAAGGAGATACTCAAGGTAGTCAATTGCCTCCATCGTGGATTCGCCAGTGTATTTCACTCGTTAGACTTTTCATATCAATTAGGCATACTCGATCATATTAGGACTTGCGAAACTTAATTGTATGAAAATGGAAAAAGAAATTGAAGAAAGATATGAATAAAGACGTTCCGCTAGTTTGATGTGAACTAACTCTAGAATTTTTCTGTAAAGAGACGAAGATTCGATTACGTTCTTCCGTAACTGAATTTAAATCTTTGTAATGACTTCCAGCGTCGTAAATGCAACTTCGGGATGCTGCAAGATTCTTTGATATGCGTCTTGGCGGGGAGGTAGATCGAGAATTGCGCGGTAAGATAAAACTTTTGAGAGATATGCAAATAGTTTTTTACCCGGTTTCTTCCTTCCCCGTACTTGGACCAGAATGTGACCTTACACATAGACTTTTGCCCGGTCTGCTTGTTGAAGACCGAGCACGATGAGAATGGCGGCGAGTACAAATGTAGGGAGACCGCGGGATTCATCGCGCTTGGATTTTCGACACGGTGCAAACCTAGTGAATCTTTCGAACGGAAAAAAATATCGGAGATTATTTTTAAATATGTATACACATACAGAATTATATTATTCGAGTAAATAATTTTATTTGTAAATAAAATAAAAGATTCACGTTTAAAATTTTGTTTTAGAATTACTTTACGTTTACAAAAATAATCAGAGCATGTATTATAAAACTGTTCGGAATGGATTTTGGTCAGAATTATTCTTTTTTCACTGAAAAAACATAATATAGAAATCTAGGGAATAATTGAACAATTTCGATTGAAATCCATTTCAAATAGTACATAATACAGTGAATGCAAAAAGTATTCATACAGAGGACATACCTTTAAAAATAGTTTATTTTTCGAAAGAAAAGATTCATCAGGAATTTATTAATAAAGAACAAGATAAGTAGATCGTATAATTCTCAAAATTATTTCCTAAAATGATGTGTGATAATTAAAATATATTATTTTAGTAATAAGCGTAAATGAAAAATTATATTATTTGAACGCATAAAAAGTATTCATTCAGTCGAGAAACTTAGTTTCTAATTTAGTTTCATGAACAGTAATTTTTGCGAATTTTTTTTATTTATATTAAAACAGAACATACTGTTAATAAATTGCTAATTAATGTTTATTTTCTAAAATTCTACAAATAAGGCTTTTTTTTAAATCAAAATCTCCCTTGTATAAATATCTTTTGTATTTCACCAGACTTGATGCTCGACTCAATAATAAAATAAGTTATTAAAATATTATTTTTTTATCCTTATTTGTATTGAATATGTAAGACTTATTGTCTAGGATTTAATTTAAAAAAATCATACCATTAATATAACAGATCTCATTTATATCAAGCGTATTCTTCTCGAGTTCCTTGAGTTCCTCCGCATCATTTTTCATCTCCGATCCTTCGGGCCACGCGTACCTCGTCTAACAATAAAAAATAACGCACTTTGATATCTCAGTTTTACATCACAATGTATGTATGATACGTGGTCTGAAATGATTCCCAATAATTATCCGTAATTTCCGTACCTCGCATAATTTCCCCTGGAGTATTTTCATAACACAATGTGAGTTGGCATGATCGTGTATGGCTGACCCGTGACCTTCTCCCCAGCACAATACCATGAGATTGAACCTGCCGTTCCCTTCGTCAACTAAGTTTCTGGTATATCTGCACACAAAGCGTCGAGCGTTACAATTTAATATTTTTCCTTCGAAAATGTTGTCCGACCGGTCAGAATTTTCTTATTTCGTTGCTGTCGATCGGTACCTTTCGAAAATCTCGGTGCACATTTCAAATGCGCGTACACCTTAAACGATTATTACGTGTGCAAATTTTAGTCACATAGTGTGTATATCTACATATATACACACACACACACGTTCGACTCAGTCAACTAGTAAAATAGTTATTGATCTATCTTAATTAACATATTTATCGATTTAATTAATTCGAATCTATACTTCTTTTAGCACAAAAAGAATTAGTACAAAATTAGCTTTTAAATCGGTATAGATTTTGCAAGAAATAAACCAGTCTAGAAATAAACTAGTCCATTAAAAAATACATACCACAATATTACTAAAATTTAAATCAATTACAATACTTGACATGTTTTAGTTTTAGCTCAGATTACATGTTTAAATTGTGCGATTAAAAAATTTTAGCAGGTAAAAATAAAGAAAACCCGTCTTCTCGAAAAAAACAGTCATTTAAATCTAAATTGGCCCGAATTGGTAATACAGTGTTATTAAATAATTATCAACTTTTTGTAACATTTGACAGTTACCTTATCGTCCTAAAAAAACAATTATCTCATCGTCCCAAAAAAACAAAAAAGCATTATTTACGAGAAGTATTAATGTAGGGTGCACGATTTACGAATCGGTGATCTGTAATTCCAGCAGTGAAATGTGAGATGCAGCAGAGCGAATATAATTTGAAAGTTCCAATGTTTCGCACGGCATACGCTTCGTTCGCATTTTTTTTTTCACGAATGTCATGCGATGTACAAATACCAATGTTCTCTGGATTGCGCAGAACGCAATCATGGAGAAAGGGAATATATACATAGAAAGTACATACAATACATATAATCAACTATATATGTATATATATGTGTATGTATATATATATATATACACATATATATATATAACGTTTATCGGTCAATCGCCTCTGGATATTTATTTATTGCTGTTCTAATTTTCGATACTAAATTCTTTAAATTACAAGATTTAATATCCGTTTAAGGAAAATATAATTTTTAAAATAATCAAGAGAGAGAATTACGTTATCTTCATTTTATTCGATATTAATATTAACTATTAATTGCGTAAACGTCTTAATCAAAGAATATCATTTCATACAAAGTGTCAAGATATCTCCAAATCCCTCGATTTAAATATATCTGAGTATTAATTTGGAACAGTGATATAAACGAATATTTTGTACGCTCTCGCAGGTACAAGTGTTCTTCATCGAATAAAAGCATATGAATAAAAGCATTCAAAAAATCTAAAGCGCAAAAATCTAAAAAAATCTAAATATTGATGGATTCGTTTGTCTCAAAAATAAAAATTTTTAGATTTTAAAAACATTTTATTTCTCATTTTTACAGAAAAATATTTCTTCTCGATGTATTACAAAATTTATCATTAATTTGTTGATACGATTTTTTGTATCGTCAACAATTTCTGTAATCACATAGCACATTCGTCTACCGATTGACGCTGAAAGCGTTGAACAATATGATAACCCGTTGAATTGAAATATGACGCCAAAATGTTTATCTTTCTAGTGACCTTTCGTAAGAACGATCTCGAAGTAGAAGGAATATTTGCCTGCCACACAGCATTACGTTCTACTTTGTGTTGACAGCAAAACCGGTAAACGTGCCCGTAGTTTCCGTACTTTCCCGAGTCACGTGGATCTCCAGCTACTGCACACAGTAATTCCACCTGCGTCCAACGCGCTCGTTATCTCGCGAACTCGTAAACTTATTTTCGTTCCTCTTTACGGTCGCTTGCCTAATCAAGAGCTATATGCAACGTCTTCGACAATTAGCAAGACGTTAAACTAGTTGTCGTATTTCCGACAGCACTTGATAATGTAATATATGGCGAAAGAAAGAAGAAAAATATTAAGAACCATTTGAGAAAAAATAAAAATTCTTGAATATCAGCAGAAATGTATTTCTCGGATGCTTAAAACGTTTGAGTGTTACATACAGTAATCTCTGTGCTAAGTAAAACGCTTATCTGCGCTCTGAATATGAAAATACAAGTTGCATCGTCCAGTTCATTGCAACATGTTCACAGAGATAACATTGTCGGTAATGTCTAATAATTCTGAAACATTCTCTCTCTTTCCCTTATCGAACGAGAATGAAGATATATCCAGATCGCGCGTAATAAATAAGCTAATCCATTTATCGTAATTATACATGTGTAATACACACCCTGGTAAATAAAACTGCGGAGAATAAGAGAATTTTCCTTTCGACCCGAAATTTATCTCCGTGCATTCTTAACTTTATGAGATAACTAATAAAATTGTTAATTAGTTAAATGCAAATAATTTTAATCTGGCACGAAGTAATCTCGTTTGCCTTAAAAGTTTTCTGTTTCCTCAAATATTTCCTGATATCAACTCAGCATTTCTTTTTACATTCTTGTTACACTCTCTTCGTAAACACGATGATTCTTTTTTGAGGACTGTGTATATTTCTCGTTGCGGATATTAGTTATCTATTATTTACGGTAGTCATGAGATTAATGATCGGAAAAATGAAGTGATGACACAATTCTGCTAATATCTGATGTTTTTTTTTGTCTGACAATTATTAAGTGGCAATCATCTACTCCTACCACAAATACAAGTGATAGTGGTGTTACGGGTCACTTCAGAGCAAGGTTACCAAATTTTTCATTTCACATTTTGACGTTGGGAGCATTAGAGAGAGATAGAACAAACGAAGAACATACGACCGATAACCCATTCTGAACTTCGTCAGATTAATTTTATTTCACAATTTTGCATTGCGTTGTTATATACGTTCTATTTACATACTTCAAATATGTTAAATAACAAAACTATTTATTGTGCTCTCATCTTTTAGTTATCAAGTACAACGTCCACTGACGTATTTCTCCGGAATGTTCCTAATTGATCATTACCGTTATGCGGTGATTTTATTTGCAATAGTGCTGTAATTATCGATGTGTAATTAGCTGATAGTTAATGAAAACTTCCGCATGCACGCCACAATTCTCATCACGTTTTAACAAGTTGTACAATTACATTAGATATATATTCTGTGGAATCGTGAATCAGGCATGTAAATCTTACCAATTGTCAGATTGAAAGTGATACAATTTTATTTTTGGAATAAAATACATAACATAGCATAGCAAACGTTATTCAAGAAAAAAAATATTAAAAAATCCAGAAAAACACGGCGAATGAGAGTCAGCGTGGTAGTTAATACGCAATCTTAAATCTTTAATCCAGAAAATAGAATCTTTATTCCAAAAAAATAATAGTATGTAAATAATAGTATGTAAATAGTTCTTCAAGAATTTTTAATTTCTTGCATTTCCGCGATTAATTGTTGAGATTTTTTTTATCGCGCCGGAAATATTTTTCAATATTTATCACAAATGATTATATTACTGCTATTGTACATTTTTCAACTATTTGCTATGTAGATTTAACTATTCTTATCGTCATAATTTATGCACATTTGACAATCATACATAAAATTAAAATGATAATCTTGTTGTAATGATATAATCTGTCTGTTGCATTTTACATTAAAAGAATTAATTTATATACTAAAAAATTTAAAAGACACACAATAAATAAATAAAGGCTCTAAACGATTAAGCTAGATCTTTAATGCTTAAATAATTCAGTATGAATTTCTATAATACTGCATATTCAATCAAAAATTACGCGCCGAATTTAATTTTCAGTCTTGAAACGCAATCCTAACAGAACTAAAGTAAATATCACAAATTAAATTGACAAATAATTTGATAATATTAATGCACATAGGCATCTTAGAAAGATCTTAATAATCTGATGTTGATAAGAGAGCATCTTAAACCCTATAAATAATTTTAATAATAATTTTAGTAATTAAATTCGACGCGCAATATTTGCAGGAATGGATATAAATATATAAGTTCGCACCGAATTATTTAGTATTAAAGATCGAATTTGACCGTACAGGACCTTTATTTCCTATTTGTTGTGTATTCATATTACGATCTTAAAAGATACTTCGTTTAATATTGTTTATAAAAATATTTGTTTTGTGAAACGTTGAGTAAAATTCGTATATAAATAAATAAACGTTAGATACCTGTATCTGTCGAATTTGGCAAATTTCTTCCACTCCGCGGGATTGCTCTTATAGCTCATCATCAGATCCTGAACGTAATCGATATTCACATTATCCGTGTTGTAAGCCTCGTACAGCGCATCTATAAGTTCCCGCAGGGTGGAAACTTTTTCCCGCCGGAATTTCTCCCCATTGTCAACGAGGTGCGACGCTTTTTCGCATGGCATACCGTGTAATCGGTCCTCTCGGTTGCAGATTTCCATTTTTCAACCGCTGTATCTCGACACTTCAGCAATTCTATTCAATCGGTAAAAGTTTCTCTCCACTTTCCCACAGACACAGGAGGGACGCGGCGATTGCACTACAAAGAAATTCTCCAGCACCGGAAAACCGTGAACGTTAAAACGGGAGCTTTGACTCGTTCCGTCAACTGACTCTGACTCGTAGAATTCAGCGCGACTTCGAAAGCGAAGGGAAGACAAGAGATTTATACGAACGTCTTTAGTCTCTGTACGCCGAGCACTAACTGCGTGAACGTACTAATCCGTACTACCTCACTGTCTTTGCTCGCCTACAGCTGGTACCGGTCTAGTACAACGCGGGTACAGCATCTTATATGCGGTATAAGGTGCCTACTACTGGAGTAGGGGGGCTGGAACTGATCGTCCGATTAATAACATTTTGTGAAATTCTTTCTTCTACAGGCTATTTTTCAGCTTTTGTCATTTTGTGAACTTTACTCTACGGGCTACTTTTCGACCTTTGTCAATGAAAAGAATGGAGCTGAATTTAATACTATAATAGTTCTATAATTTGTGAAAAAGGAAACGCAGGTAAAAAATTTATTGTCGCGATTTTCTATTTTTATAGCTATCCCGTCGAAAGCTTTATTTCCCAAATAATGCAGAAATTACAAATCAGTTGCTCTACTTTATGTTTCTATTCTTTTTTACAAATTTTGACGACTCAATTCGACAACTACTATTTCTATATATGTTTTTATATGTATCTATAATCATGTTTGTTTCACTACTTTTAATGTCAACAGATAGATTATTTGTGGATTATATTTGCAGTATTTATGAATGAAATTGTCCTTTTATGTATATAAGAATATGGAAAAAAATTTATGTTTCTATTTGAAAAAATACAATTTAACTTTGATTTTTTGTAAAAAAGATGAACAATTTTGGAATTTTTCTTGCAATTAATTCTTTTCTAAAAACCAACAAACTTTTGTTAAAAATATTTTATCGTCAATTCATTGGAAATATCTCAAAAATCGTAACAACCAATTTAAGGAGAGAGAATACCCTATATAAAGAGAGCTTTTATATCTTGATATTTGATTTGTCTATTGTTTGTATAGTTATATCTATATTCATAATACTGTGACTCACCTTAATAGGCAGGAAATCCATTATGGGGAAAGAAAAGAAAGAAATAACATCTATATATTATACATATGTACACTTTTCACTTTAAAACAATATACAATATTTCAAAAGTACTATTTATGTTTTATACATTTTCCAACATTTTTTGTATTATAAAAGAACCATAGCTTTATTTATGTAAATTAATAATATATAGATATTAATTTTAGGTTAACAAAATTTGTTTATTGTTCATAATTTAAAACTATAGATATACAGAATGTATCGAAGGTAATATTATTGTAATATAAAACTTCATAAAAAATTAAGTAATAAAAGTGTAAACCATTTTTTCCGTAAAGTAGTTTTTTAAGTTTAAAATTTGACTAATCATAATGATTAAAAAATTATCTGTCCGTGTAAAGTGCATGCAGTGATATTAGATACTAACCAAAACATTATCTGCGTACGCACATTATCACACAAACAAATGACTTTTTAAACAATATTTATGATTTGTCAAAAAATTTTTTGTATTTAAAAAACTATTTTACGCGCGCGCGCGCGCGCGCGAAAAAAGTAACTTTTTTACTTTTATTACTTAATTTTTCACCAAGTTTCATGTTGCGATAATATTACTCTCGAATTTCGGGACACCCTGTTGTCTTAAAAGAGAAAAAAATAAAGAGAAGTATTATATAAATTAAACAATATAATATAGGGTTAAGAACCACTCAGGGTATTATGTAAGTAATAATATTATAAACAATCTAAAAGAAGTATTATAAATAAGTATATAAAAAGAAGTATAATAAATAAATATATGTATTTATCGAATATTTTAGATGGCTCGAGTTATAAAATATTAGAAAAATGTTTTCTAAGTACGTTATTATTACTCAAATTTCGGTATTCATCAATCGTTATCGTGTCATGTGATAATTATTAAAATGACGCTAATTTGTTTTCTCGAGTTTCGAGGCTATTTACATTCTTTTCAATATACAAAATATGTGTACAAGATATATGTATATATATATATATGTATATATGTGTGTGTGTAGCTGAGTTTTCTTATCTCTCTTATGACTCGATAAAATATTACTAGTCTTAGTTAACAATCTGTATTATTCAAGAACATTACGAAATTAGAAATCATGAAAATATCCAAATTATTTTAGCAACATAAATATAGATCGTATTCATAATATACGTATAATTATGACTAATTTATTCGTCGAAATATTGTACATATAATTCACTTAAATCATAAAAATAATTTTGTATTATGGCACAGATTTATCTTTGCTCTTCAAAACACATAAAAAAATATTTGTTACATACGCCGGAAATTATTTGTGTTAATCCAGCATTTGTTAATTCAGAATTGTTAATGCTATAAAATTGACAAGAGAGATATTTTTAGGGAAAGTCGCGAATAATACATATTTGCAAATTTTTCGTTTTGTTATAAAATCGAACATGTGTATGAATAATTTGTTTATGACATGTTATTTATATATATTTCATAAAATATTTAATAAAATATTTAATAAAATATGAAAATTAGGTCGAGAATAATTAATGAAAATAAAACTAGAAATACCCTAAGTAATACATATTGACATAAAAATATTACCAACTAAAATATTTTTATTATTCTTTTATCTTTTAAATACGTGAATTTTATGCAATAACTATACACCGCTGTTATACTTATTTGTTATTTGGTTCACCATTGATTGCAAGTACTATGTAATTAAACGACATTTATCTTCTTGTATCTGTTTCTTGAATTGGTAAAATTCTTTTCGTCTTTGCTTTCATTCGATGAATCATCGAATAAGTACCTGCATGGCTTTGGTTATTTTACAGTAATGCAACTGCAACAAAGAATGCAATAAAGAAAGCAACAATAAGAAGTGCACATACGGGCTTCATTAGGCCTGGGCTCCTATTCTTGAAAAGAAACGTATACGAAAAATACTAGTAAAATACTATGGCAATAAGCGTAACGTATTTCCCTACTTTCCTAATTGCTTTTCAAGAATAGAGGTCCTGAAACAAAAGCGTATCGCTAATAGTAACATTCGCTTATTTACAAAATCTCTATCGTTCAAACGGTACCGATATAAATTAGATACTGACAATGTCATGTAAAAAAAGTTTGCAATTAAAATCTTAAATATAATTTGTTTTACTCACGTGCAAGGCAGACTCTTGCAGTAATAACATTTTGCCAGCGGTCTCTTACAATTGAATTTGTACGGTGTTAATTTACAAACGCAACCAATATGTTGAATTGGTATCAATTTTTCAGCAGTGCTTTTACGCTCGTTTCTAGAATTCCGATTACACTGGTAATTCTTTGGTGACTTGCTTTCAGATGACCTTCCTATTTTGGCGTGACTAAATAACGGTAGATACAAGAATAATTCAGTACAAAAGTTTAATATAAATAAATAAGTTAACTGTAGAAAAGTTTTAAATAATTATTTGCTATTTGTTAGGATGTTTATATTAGAATAACTTGCTTATGTCGAGATCTATCACGTTTATGTTAATACAAGTATATATTTAAACGTGCTACTCTAAATTTTGATGGTTTTCATTTAAATATCACCAGACAGCTCTGAATATGCATTATTTGGAAAATTTTACGTAAAAAAAATCATTAATTTACTTTTAAATATTTATTTAAAAAATTTAAGTTGCAGTCATTAAACTATTTTTAGATATTTTATCGATTTGATACTTTTGACCCATTCAGTAGAAGAAAGAGAATATAGGGGGATTCTTTAGAACATCGAGCGTTAGTTAAGCTACTATTAGAAGTCTAATTATTAGAATAATAGCTTGAAGACAGTCTTAAAGGATAAGAAATAATAAAGAACCGTTTAAAATCTAACAGCATAAAATTCTATGATGGATACCGCCTGGGTATTCATGTAGCATAAAACTTACATAAGAATCAATAAAAAAATTTTATTTTTAGTATTTCTCTGACACGTCTTTATGTAAATAAATGAAAAAGAAATCTTGTCAGACAAAAAATTCTTTTATATACTTGAGACAATTTTCGGCTTTCCTTTCTTCCTTTCTCTTATCTTCATCGACCGGCAATCCACAACAACAAGGATTTCTCCAGCATCGTGCGCAGCATACGGACTCGCTCATCTTCTGTTGCAGTTCATTCATCACTTCTGAGAAAACATTTAGCCGTTGATAAGGTAGTTCCTCAGGATGTTGTCGCTTTGGCTTTTTGCAGCACTGACATTTCTTAGTGAAATACGGCTCGAAATCTTTATAGTTTCTTTCGAAATATCGTCTGATTTCCCTCTTCGGTTTCCAGCTGGTGACGCAAATCGTTCGATTCTCATTCAGTCTTTTAGCAATCTGTTCAGACTCACGAACGTGACCCTGGTCACCTTGACAGTTGCAAACATCTGATGGCAATCCGCAATACAAGCACTTTCCGATTGGTGCTCTGCATGTGCATTTGTCTCGAGGGTTATCACAGTATAGACAAATCATTGTCCTCTTGCGATTGCTGGTTTTCTTGTTCTTATGGCACTTTACTAAAGTGAATGTAGCACAGTAACATTGATTTCTTAGTTTACCGCAGTTACTGCACCTTTCTTGTGACTCACACCTGTCAAATATTTCGGGAAACCGAAAGATTTATAAAAATATGTATATCTGAGTATTATTTTTTGTCTCAGAATTATAATTAAAAAGTATATCGAAATATCTAATCAATAAATATTCACTAATTTATATTTAATAAACGTATTTATCTAAAATCATACATATATATATATA